CGAGGATTCCCGCTCGATCCCATCGCTGCGCGCACCGCATGCGGTCCGTTGCAACGCGTGTTTCCACCGTGTGGTGGGGTCGGCTTCCAGGCCTGAGAACATTCCCACGTTCCGTAGCACGAGCCAAGAGTGTACAACCGGAAGAATTTCGGAGGCGAGGCTACCCATTCTGCGTCGAGGAGGAAAGAGACGGATGGAACCTCGCGAGTAAAAGGATGGAAAGAAATGATGGACGACTATGAAAAGGGAGGGATTGAGGATAGGGGAACATGGTAAACGGGGAGAGAAGAGGCCGCCGCTTCTTTACGAAGTAAAGGTCTGTTCCGCGGAAGTGTTCCGACGCGCCGACGAATTAGCATCGAAGACCTCGTATCTTCCTCTGTGTCGATAGACGGACTGGGAAGGAGCGCGAAGAGGCTCGGGCACGTCGAAGCGAAGCACGAGGAGGTCGAGGAGCGTCGAGAAAATCCCCTTGAAGAGAGTTTGGATCTGGTAAATATTACTGTAGTTCGAAGTGATGGCATCGAGGATTGTTGCTTTAGCCTGGGGAAAATACATTGATCGTTTATTTGTACTGCTTTGCTTTATACGGAGAAGGCAGAGAATAAACTCTGAGCTGTTATAATTCACGTTACTTCAGTAATACCGATTGATAATAAATTATAAGTAATGTTTAAACAAGCCCGTTGGCTTGATTATTTCCTAGAATATCTTTCTATATTTTTTTACAAGACGCGGCCGATTATCGTTGTATATTTCTTGCACACCGCTCTGTGATATATTTAACTAATAATAAGAGATAATCAATGTTTCTTTAGTTAGAAAATTGTCGATTAATCGCTATTTGCGTGAAGACTGCGGCTATTGTTAGTGATTATTTAACTCGCGCGATAATGCAACTGTGATTTTATAAACTTATTGTTACCTTTTTTCTCTTTGTTAACACGTTATTTCTCTCGCATTAATATTATCAACATTTTTTATATTAAATAATTAAATTGATATTTTATGTGTAGGTTTTAATTTAATCGTAACTTGCTTTAACGTAGTCAAAAAAGTAAGTTATAAAGCTACTAGAAAAATTAGCGATTAAAAAAATACTATATTGCACATTACAAAAAATTAAATTACAAGTTAATATTATACGTATTCTAATTATTAACATTATCATGTACTATCTAATCGTAATAATAATTATCCCTCTATCGCTCATACATGCATCAACGTTATACTTAATTAACGTCACGTCGATCTTTCGCTTATCGCGCTTATTAAACCAATCGGATCGATAAAATATCAGATACGGGACTTCCCGAATGTTGAAAAAAATTTCGGAAACCTTATAATTTGACCATCTCGCAGCTGATTAATATGCTTGACAACCTGTTATACAACCAAAATGTCGACTTAACGGTCGCGTGTAATGTTAACGCGAGTCACGATGAATCTCGACGTATCTCTTCCTTTCTTTTTTTTTATTCTCTCCCCCCTCTTTTTCTCTCCCTCGCTCTTGAGGTCAAGACTTCCTCGATCTCTCGATGAAGGAAGCGCACGATTTGCTGCGGACCGACCGACGAGTGCACAAAAAATCCATCATACCCAGAAACGAATTACATACTTCATCGTCGGGGATCACGTAAGGACGCGTTCTCGCCGCGAGAATATCAACGTTCACTTCATTCGCCGCCGATGGTGAGCGGGCGTAACAAGTTGTTAACGTGGGGCAAATAATATGTACCCGGTGTCCCGGCGGTAGCGCCGCATCGGCGCGGATAACGCTCGTTTCGTCGGGGCTTTAACTGGCGTACGCGCGTACCGCCGCATCCGGCTTGTATGACCAATCAATGTAATTATCCTACCGGTCTTCTACCGGCGCGCGGTCGCTTCTGCCTTATTTTCGTCCGTCGACGCACGTACTTACCGCGCAGAAACTATGATTCAAGAGGGGAATTGATAATGATAAATAAGACGTAGGAAAAGAGGGAGAAAGAGAGATAGAGATGATAGAGTTTGGATCGAGAGGGAAGAGACACGTAATGTGGAGCGTGTTCAGACAAATAGAATGCGAAGATACCCTCTAAATGGTAAGGTTGGGGTTGAGTACGATTTTTACGGCTTCGTCATTCAAAGCGTTTTTTATTTTACTGCTACTATTTAAAATCTATTAAAAAGTTAGTTAACTTTATTGTATGTATTTATCAATAAATAAGCAGGGAAAAAAATTTTGTGTTATTATTTTTTAACTTATTTTGTATATTAAATTAAAAAAGACTGGATCCGAATATATATTCCGAAAGTCCATCTTGCTAGAAAGTTAATAATAAATACGTGACACACGCATGGACTAACGAAATTGCTCAAGCATATCTAGAAGTCTGGCACTTTGCCAGCATAAGATATATGTCGCGAGCGTTTTGAGACTGTTTCGTTGAAACACTCTTGTATCGCAGTTAAATGTCAACGAGAGAAGTGTTTCGATCTGTATCATTGTGCAGTACGGAAACGAAGATATGCGAATTGCTGAAAAAACCGATGTAAGACAAATATTATCTAAAAAATGTCATAGAATTACGATGTATTTTACTTATATATTTTTATATTATTTTTTGCTATAAAATACTAAGAGAATAATATTTAATGATATCTCGTTTAAAAGGGAATTGAAGAGAGTAAATAGACTTTGTTATTACGATAGACTATTTTAAAATATTATCTTTATAACAGAGTTATACATTTATAACTGCGTTATATATTTTTTTATTATTTCTCATTGTTAAATACTGAATAATATTCAGTAATCTCGTTCAAAAGAGTGAAAGAGAAAAAGTGGACGTGGTTCTAAAATTTCGTTCTAAAGTTCTTCTTTCTTTAATCTTCTTTCTTTAAGTTTTTTCTTTATATTATCTCTTTGTTGAAGAATGTTAAGGATGAATCACTTTTTAAAATCGAAAACTTATCTCTCACCATATATTCTCACTTACAAAGATATAGCGAACGTCTTCCAAGAGAGTAGGGTTTCTCCTCGAGTTTAAAAAATTCCTGCGACAAAATTCCACTCGTATCAATTTCCATCGCGATCACGAACAAATCGGCGATTAAGCGGCGACTGTACGTCTGAAAAAGCGGATTTTTTCTTTTTCCTTTTATGAAGACGACACATCGTAATATCCGGGTGCGCGCGGATGCCTTCGAAGCTACGTTTAGACCCAAAGGTTCATAAATACTCAACCCACTCAGCCTTGTTTGGGATATCGGCTTCCAAAAGGGCTAAACACCTCGTTAAGTCTCACAAGCGGAGCCCGTCCAAGTCCAAGAATGGGCGGATCATTAAGAACGTACGTTTATAATTCAAAACATCGGCTCCTGGGCTCCCCGCTCCGATTGCACCGGAACCGGTTGTCAAAAACCCTCGAGAGATTCTCTATAGTATCAGACTGATCTCGAGTGGAATATATGCAAAACTCTCTCAAGTTACGCAAATCTTTTAAGAGCAGGAAGAGATCATATGTTAATTATAGTCAAAAATTCAGAAAATACACTGGATAGAAAGGATACGATACACAGGACTTTTTTGTCGCAGAATAGAAAGGTGATTTAACTAACGTCAGAAATTTTTTCCACGTAGAAAGGTGATTTAACTAACGTCAGAATTTTTTTTCCACGTGGAAGAATTTATGGCCAAATCGCGTCCGTTATCTTTCTAGATACAGCTGCCATGTAGAAGATAAAAGAGATTCATTTATGAAGCTTCTTAAGAATTTTTTTCTCAAATAAATTTTTATAACGTTCCCAGCGATTCGTATGACGTAATGCAACAGAGGCAATCTAACAGATGATCTCGTATAATCGCGATGAGAGACAAGAAGCGTGGGCGGGCCGCGTACGTGATGTTTATTTCTATTGTTCCACGCGAAGAGGAACGCGAAATGGTCCAGTCCGCGACACGGCGTTGCCAAGACGTGATTCACTCCGAGGAAGTGCCGGGAGTGTTGCCGACACGCGCGTACACGTGCACCACGTCGGTGGTAATCCAACGTAAATCAACAAGTGTCATGCGCCTCGAGCGCGAACTAACAGCGGTGTTTAGATGTCTCCTATAAATATTGTTTCTTCGATCGAAAACATCGTTATCTTAGTCCGCAGGCACGATCGAATAAACACTCCTCTTACAGACATTTTTCTCTAAATTTTTGTATTTCAATGTATAATAATTGAGCGAAAATGCACACTGAAAGAAAAAATTGGTTGCTGTAACAATTTAGATAGTAAAATATGGCATAGCATTTTTAATCGGCTGCAGCAACCAGTTTTTGATTGTAGCAGCAAATTTTTAGTTGTGTTAGTTTATCCGTGTCAGTATATAATTTCGATTTGCTACAGCTGATTAAAAATACTATGCTATATTTTACTATCTAAATTATTACAGCAACCAATTTTTTCTTTCAGTGCACGATTATAAAGTATACATTTCTTAAGTTCTAAACACAATGCGAGGCAACAGCGATAAGAATAGCAATAGGAGGAATATTATAGAAATAAGCGATATATAATTGTTGCACAATGCTGCGAAAAAAAAATGCCAACCAATCTGATTTCGTGTATAGACTGTAATACATTTTTCCATTCGCTCAAGGTTATAGCACATATAAACAGAATGAAAAATCTGGACGCTGATTGGTAGACTATAAGGCGATAAACACAAATTCCGACTCGTCGGGAATTATCGCTATTCCATCTCTCTCTCTGTATCTCTTATTTCGTGTTTTTAGACATTGATATACATTCCTGTAAATCAATGGATTCCTCTGTTTCTATCGCTGTTGCTACGCATTGTGTTAGGGCTTTAGTTCCAGTTTTTTATTTTCTGATTAAATTCTGATTAAGCTTAATCTGATACTAAAAATTGTATTTTTCTAGAGATAGGTTAATCATTAAAATGGTTTTGTATTGAGTAACTTTTAAAGCTATCTTTTATAGTATTTATTTGCATTATGTACAAAATCAGTTTTATCTATGTGTTATTGAATAAAGGTGTATAATATATTTTCATGCAACAGAAGGCACATCAGTCATTGAAAATTACAAACGATCGGCAAATGATATCTCCAAATGATTCTGAAACCGCGCGAGAAAGTTTATTTTCTCTCGCTATGTTTCAATCTAGCCCATATCCTCGCGAAGCGGCATCCTTCGTAGATTCAATCGCGATAATCTTTACCTCCGGCGCGAGGATCGAGGCTCGCGCGAGTCGTCCTCGTGCTGGTCGCGCGTCGTGGCGTGTGCTCTCCTCTTCTCGCCTCTCGCCCGTGTTTCTCGGCGCGGTTTGGCGCGTCGTGTCGTGCCAAGGCACCGCGTGCAGGTGTGTTCTCGGTGAGCAAAGTGTCCCCTCCCGTGCGCGCGCGCGAGCGCGAGCGAGCGAGCGAGCGTACGTTCGCGCTCTTCGCTCGCAAGGAGGGCCCCCTCCTCCCTTCCTCGGCCCGGCAGGCGTTAAGCGGCACAGAACCTGTGCAGGCCCCAACAGGCCCCCCGATCTGTGGGAACGCTCCGGCCCGCGAGCTTCCCACGATACGCCACGGCTGCTGCTGGCTGGCCGTGCACGCGGGCTGCAGGGTTCAGCATACCGTGCCCCTCGGACCCCTCCGTCACCCAGCTGTGGGGCGCAGGACGACGGCGGCACGGGTGGGGCATCACGCGGCATATAAATAACGGGTTGTACCCTACCAGCGCTTCAGAACCGTCACGAATACGTACGGACTCAGACGCACTCTCGGCACTCCGAGAACAGTGAGAACAGTACTATTCGAATAGAGAATAATATATAAACGTCGAACGTTTTCGATTGTGCTTTCGATTTCCAACTATTTCCGATTGGGAGATATACGTTAACAAGAGAGCACCGCGGATTCCCCCTAAATCCTTGATCGGATCGTCAATCGGTGATTCGGTCCGGGGATCAACGCAGGACATCCGCAGAAGAATCCACTCTCCCTGGACTCAGTTATCCCTTGTTTTGTGTGACCAGTGACAATATAAAGTGTGATCATGTCACCGCACACGGGTTACACGCCGGTCAGCGGTATGGAGTACGAGGAACCAGTGTCGCGCACTTATCAATACCGCAAGGTGATGAAGCCGATGCTGGAACGCAAGCGACGTGCCCGTATCAATCGTTGCTTGGACGAGCTGAAGGATCTGATGGTGACCGCACTGCAGGCCGAGGGTGAGAACGTGGCGAAGTTGGAAAAGGCAGACATCCTTGAGTTGACGGTGCGTCATCTTCACACGTTACGCGCCGCCAGGAGACTCACACTCACGCCGGAGAACAGCTACGCCGACCGATTCCGCGATGGCTTTACCCAGTGCGCCCAGGAGGTGTCAACCTTCCTGTCAACGCCGGTCGCTGCAGCGGTGCATCCCGCCGCGGGTGCCCAACTCATGCGACACCTCGGTGGCTGCCTTCGACGACTGGAGGGTCCAGCTGGTACCAAGCATACCCTGCCGGCAACCTCGGCAGCTGCGACGAAGACGACTCAAGCGCCGACGGGCCAGACGAACGTGACCCAGAACGTGTACACTCCTCCGCAGAGCCCTGTCAGTGTCGCGAGCTCCTCCGGTGAGTCTTCGGAGTCTTCCAACGCAGTCTGGAGACCCTGGTGATGAGGCAATCAAACGACAACGAAACGAACCATCCTGAGATCTCCGGAGCGGACGTTCGAAATGATCAAGACGGACAATCCAATGACGAAGGATCCTTCCGCTGAATGGCATCGCGAGGAGGAAAACGACGAATCGCTGTCTTCCAAAAGAAACTTTTGCGAAGCCTCATTGAGAATTCTTTGAGAACTTTTACTTCTTTACGCGGTTTACTTGGTCGCATTGTACATAGGTGATTAAAGCTTTAAGTGACGTCTGTGATAGGGTTCCAATTTGTACCTGAGATGACTATTTTCTTGTAAAACATAGCGACTATTATATAGATGTTAACTTGTTATGTTTAAGAACTTTTTTCGACGTAAAGTCATCCGGCGTCTCTGTTGAGATCGTCGGGCAGTATCATCATCATCATCAATAAACATCTTGTTTCAATGATAAATGATATCGAATCACCACCCACAATGTATTCCGCATCCTTCTCTTCTTTATTAATCTTCTTATAACGACGGAATCGTAGATATATGAAAGGCTATATGACACAGCGAAAAGTGTTACTTCAAAAAATACATTCCTATTTATATTATAGAATTCAAATTCATAACTTCATATCACGAAATTTAATATATCTATTTGTGCAAATTAATTGTAAATTAATTAAATGAAAAAATAAAAAGAAAAGATTATATATATCTATTGCAACTTTTTTAATGATTTAATAATAAATTAATGTTTACATTCAAGCTAATGATAATAGTGAAAGAATCAATACATAGAATCAATACAAAGATAATACAATATATTTTAAAATGTAAAAAAAGAAAAGGTTTGAGATTGACATTTATTCTGATGATTTATTAATTCAATTATTTATTAATTTATTTAAGAAGCATTTTGTAGAATATATGCAAAAATAATTTGAATAATTAAACATAGTTATAGATTTTACTCGATTCGAATGGATTTAATTAATCTTGTATTTTATTATTAAATTTGGAAAGTAATCCAAATTGGATATTACATTATATCGTAAATCGTATATTGCGATTAAAAAATTTAATATTTGTGCAAATTATAAGTTAATTAAACGAAGGAAAAAAAAGTCTGTTAAAACTGTTATTGATAATAGCAAAAGAGTCATTAAATATATTTCGAGATAAAAAAAGAAGGAAGAATTGATAGTCATATTTATCGATTCGTTTCAATTAGATATTTAATTATTAATTTATTTAAAAGCATTTAGCAGCATATACAAAAATAATCCGCATAGTTTATAATTAGCAACAGCTCGATTTGAACGGATTTATTTAATCATCCTTTACTAATAAATTTTGACAATAATGATCGAGATTAAATATATATCGCAGTAAATCGAATCATTTTCGCGATTAAAATTCGTGCACTTTGAAATGATTTAAACATAAAATAATTAAAATTTTATTCGTTAATTTTATTTGATCGCTCTTTTTCATAACTGCATTTTTTCTAATACTAATTTATTTTTTGTTAGCTTGAATTTGCTCCTAAAATTTTATTATGCTACTAAGCTTCTTTTGAATTTTTAATAATATAAGCTAGCTTTGAACTCTACATACTTCTCATTTGACAATTGCATTTATCAACAAATATTCGGCACACTGCTTTCCCCGGTGATAGCTGATTTAGTACAAGATTGGTTTCATACAAGAGGAATTTGGAGAGGGAGGTTCTTGAGACACTAGATTTTGATATTCGATTCTTCTACAAATACGTTGATGACATAATTATGGTAGTACCGACAACAATGATAAATATACTTGACAAATTTAATCTACTCTCCGAGATTACAATTTACACTTGAAGTGGGTACTGATAGAATTAAATTTCTTGATACCACGATCATTATCTCTAACAACATAATAAAATTTGATTGATATCAAAAACCAACATTTTCGGGAAGATATCTAATTTTTGTGTCCCAACTTCTTTCACAAAAGAAGGACTCGATAATGCTCATTTCCACAAATGGAGAACTTTAATTTCGGTTCTGATCAGTTTACTCTCTATCTTTTTCTGAAGATCTAGTCTAAAGATTAGAAAAAAAAACGAAGAATAAATTGAACCAAAATTAAAGTTAATCTATTGTATTAGGTGTTGGAATTAATTCGTAGCGTTTTTTAATGAAAGAATGTTATTTATTTCACATGAGCATTAAAAAATACATTAATGAAAGTACTTCCCATCACTTGTAAAACGCTACGAATTAATTCCAACACCTAATATATTGGAAATCTAAACGGGCGTCTAAACGGAATGTAAACGGGCAGAACTCCCTTTTTATCAGAGAATTTCATAGAAAAACATCTGGACTTTATCATTAAAGTTCTTCTAGACAATCTGACTATCTTTTAAAATTCATATTTACATGACACTGTTAAAATTCACCATATCTGAAAGAAAAAGTCTCATTAATAAAAAAACTAATACAAAATAAAAAAACAGACAATGAAGATGAAATAAAAAATTCTTGGTTCATCAATATCATTTAATGAATATAATTTTAAAAAATTTAATCATATTACCAAAGATTTATATAAATATGAGACTTTCTTTCTTCAATATAAACAAACTCAATAATATTATAAAAGCTCATAAAGATTCGGTTTTAAAATTGTCTAGGAAGAATGCAAAGATTGTAATACAGCCTAAGTTGGACAAACACTCAGACAACAAACTAAAGACTAGAATAACTGAAGATTAGAATATTCGTGTTCGGTTATTCTATGCTTTCGAGCCATATCAGAAGAAGCACTACTACAAAATCAGTAATAACTGAGCATAGGTTGCATCATGATTTTGATTGCATAATAATAATAATTGAAATTTATCGCGCACATATAATACAGCATTAATTCCCAATAGTTAAATTTATTATAATTATAAGCTTTCTTACAGTTCTTGATTCTAAATGTTAAACTTTTTACATTGGTCATGGAAATTTCTCATTTTTATCTGAAAAACCTGAAAAAGTCAAGGAATTTTAAAATTTATTTTCTGTGACAACCTTGTATAGAATAAAAAATTATCTTTTTTATTCTGGGATATCTTATTTAATTTATATATAAAATAAATCGAGTATGTACGTATTATATGATACATAAATATTCGCGAGATATAACTTTGGAATTTTTGCATTAAATACATCTTATAGGCGCAAAGCTTTATTATAAAATTACTGAAGTTATAAGTACTAGAAAACGTAGTTTGTCATTGAAGGAAAAAGCGAAAAATATGTTTTATATTTCATTATATTTTCATAACTCTTATGTCCATATCCAATTATAAAGGTACGGTCTTGCCACTTCTTGTATCGCCAAAAAATCACGGAAGTTACGGTACAGGGGATGCAACAAGATTAAATCTCTTTAAATTGCACAGCACTGCAACGAAAACGCTACAGCAAGTCACCTTCGGCGCATGCAAAAGACTACAATGTTTGGCCGGCGGCTTTAATCGCGCTATACGACATTGCAAGAAATCGAAAACCGCCTGTCACCTGCCGTAGCCGTCCGAGTACCATACCCGGAGGTGGCGAAACTGACACATGAATATTAATGTGTCTTATGCGACTTAATACGAGAGCTTTCTTGTATCCAAGTCTTAAAACACGATTTAATCAATTTCCCTCATTCTCCACGGGCGTCAGAAACACAATGTCTGTTTCGTACACACACTTCACAGGAAGAGCAATCTTGCTCTCGCTTTTTTTATCAGTTTGACCCAAACCTTGTGGACTAATTTTAGAAATCTCTATTTTTTCTCCGATATTACTTAACATTTATCAGTTTAAAATGAATCGAATGGGTCTTCTTTTTTTTTTTATATGAATTGGAATGAATCATGATCTATTTAAAAAGTAATATTTAAAAAGAGGAATAATCTGCAGAGCGCAAGTGGATGGATTGCTTCAAAAGTCATCCATCAATCGTGGCGATCGATGGGCGCGACGCTTTCACACTTTTTCGAGTCTTCCGTTCTGCTTGTATTTTTAAAGTATCGCGTTAATTTGATTTTACGTAAGTAGGCCACGAAAGAAAATTAACTCTTTCTTCTCTGCGAGTTCCCTGTCTTACTTTCCGATTAATGCACTACCGTGTTCCGGCGACTGCGCGATCGATAACGAGTATTTAATTGCCACACGGTGGCCGGCATATTTACTTAACATGCGTTTCGCGGCGGCGAATTAATTGACAGCTCTCGCTTTTTATATTTAACTGCTGCATGCGCACATCTGCATCTCCTGATGTCTATCATCACGCTTATCCATTTTACGATTTCTGCAGAGTATTCTTCTACCTGTTGTACCTTTCCGTAAACTTATCATTAAAGGGAAAGCATCGTAACTTTAGCTTTACGATTGTTAACAATGAATGTTAACAAGATAAGATGCTTGCAAAGAATTTACTGTAGCATAAATATTTTCCTATCTTGGAAACTACTTTTCTACTCGGAATTCTTATCTTTTATCGTGTTTTACTGGCAATTACGTTCAACAAAATTATCATAATGGAATCACACTTTTTTCTCTATTGAGGAGAAGATTAATTTTTCAAATTGTTTTGCAAATAGAAAATTACGATAAATTTTAGGAAAAAAAAATCCACGAATAAAAAATAAGACAACGAAGTTTTTAGGATAGATATAAATTATAGCAGTATTTTTTTTTTAAATTACCGCTAATCCACATTACTGTCTCTTTAAAAATATCAATCGTACGACAAAATGTATCTATCGTTTCACACGCGAACGGACGTGTACCGACTTCTCATTCAAACACAATGTGCAACAGACAAACACGTTATTCGCATGCGAATGATTACATTCGTAATTATTGGGATGTACAAGCCGCTGGTTGATTCACAAATTTAAATATAACAATAAATGTAACATTGTGTTCAAATTATTAACAAAAATTATTTTTAATAGAATTAGCTAAAGCATATTAAAAGAATTGAATAATCAAAAGAAGCCACTAGAGAATTATTTTTTTATATCTTTGTTTGTCTTTTAAATATAATAAAATAAAATTAAGCATAAGATGCATCAAATTAAAATAGGATACACTAACGCAACACAAATGTTTTAATCATGTATGAAATATTGAAGATATGCTTAGAAAATTGGGAAAATGAACATAGTTGCATAAGATTGTGAAATGCAAGTCGACGTTTGCCGGTAGTTCAAATTTCGACGATCTTTGAATTGACTTATAAATTATCCGTAATGGTCTATCGAAACGTAAATTATTGCTATAATGTAAATATTCCATATACTTATTTTTTCGTGATATTTAACCTCACGATTTCGCAATTACATACCAGCAGACTGTGTTTTTTAAGATCGGTTAAGAAGATATTATTATCTCCATGTTTTTGCGTGCCTTTCTCGAAATATTTTCTCCAC